CTATTAATGAAATTGAAGATGAAATTAAATCTTTACCTACAAAGAAGAGCCCAGGCCCAGATGTATTCACTGCAGAATTCTACAAGAAATACAAAGAAGACCTAATGCCAACACTCCTCAAAATCTTCAATGAAATTGAAAGGGAAGCAATTCTTCCTAAATTGTTCCTAGAAGCAAATATTACTCTAGTACCAAAACCAGAGAAGGACCCAACTGAAAAAGAGAACTACAGACCAATCTCCTTAATGAACACAGATGCAAAAATCCTCAGTGAAATATTGGCAAACAGGATGCAGCAAATCAAAAAGATCATACACCACGACCAAGTGGGAATCATCCCAGGCATGCAGGGATGGTTTAATATATGTAAATCAATAAATGTAATAAACTATAGCAATAGAGCCAAAAGTAAGAATCACATGATCATTTCTACAGATACAGAAAAAGCTTTTGATAAGGTTCAACATTCGTTTATGATAAGAACCTTACAGAAAATTGGAATAGATGGTCTTTACCTCAATATGCTTAGGGCTGCCTATGACAAATCGACAGTCAATATCATACTAAATGGCCAAAAATTGAAGACATTTACTTTAAAATCAGGGACAATACAAGGAGGTCCCTTATCACCACTCCTATTTAATATAGTACTGAATATACTGGCCAGAGCAATTAGACGAGAGAGAGAAATAAAATGCATATAGGAAAAGAAGAAGTTAAATTATCACTATTTGCAGATGACATGATACTCTCCATAGAAGATCCCCAAAACTCCATTGAAAGACCCCTAGATAGAACACAGAAATTCAGTAATGTAGCTGGATACCAAATCAATATTCAAAAATCAATACATTCCTATACACTAACAGCAAAGTTACAGAGAGACAAATAAGAGAGATCACACCCTTCACACTAGCAACCAAAAAAATGAAATATTTAGGAATTACTCTCATGAAAGAAGTAAAAAAACCTATACAGGGAAAATTATAACACCTTGAAAGATGAAACTGAAGATGATCTCAGAAAATGGAAAGACATCCCTTGCTCATGGATAGGAAGAATAAATATTGTGAAAATGGCCATTCTCCCAAAAATTTTATACAGATTCAATGCAATCCTGATAAAAAAATAAACATACTCATTAAGTGCAATGGTTTTAACCTGGGTTGTTTGATTTTAGTGTCAGTGATAGTATGAATAGCTATTCTGAAGAAAACAACACATCCTAAAAGCTAGTGATTTAATATCGTCTTGTTTCGAAGTCCCATCAAGCAGTTGTACATCTGTTTCCACTGGTTTTAACATGTTGTATCTTACAATAGTTTACTATATGTGATAATATAAGCAAAATTTTTATAGGCAAAGAGATAATATAGAAACCATTTTTCATTTTCTGTTAACTGGTTCTAAATACCCTGTAATTCTTTCATTCTCTTGAATGGCTTCACACTGTCTTGATATGCTTGATGCTACAGTATACAAAGTTATATTCAAATAATTCAAGGAATGAGGCACTATGGTGACTAATATTATGTTAGATTATTTGGGGGGTGAAACACAATGATGCTTAAATAGTTCGGTTCTGACCAGTGTTGTTCTATTACAATGTCCTCTTTTATCTGAATCTCCACTCTTTTTCAAAAATCAATCTATGTTTTCTTAATTTTTTTTCAATTAAGGGAAAACTAAATTTAAAAATAGCGGCATATATTATAGTAACATTTTTGTTTTCTTATTAACCTGATTTGAACCCCACTATTGCTCTCCTCATCTTTTTCTGTCTGATTTTACTGAATTCTATATTGTTTGATAGTATCAAGTTTGAAGGTATAGGCAACCACTTTGAAGGCAATAAGATTTACTATCATGCCCATTATGGTTTGATTATTATCTTGTTTTGAAATACTGTAAGGTCTCCAGTGTAGGTTTTATTGGTCTTGTTCTGTACTGTTTTGATCAATTCTATTATACCTGATGAGATGGGCAACTCTTTTTAAAAATAGCAAGAGGCACACTCTTAACCATTTTTGATCACCTGATATTCTATTTTTGCATCATGTACTACGCCCATCCTTCTGTTCTAACCGAATCTTTTATTTTTTAGTCATGTTAGGTTTTATTCTCTTCAAAAAAAGTAATTAGAACTGTGGCAGTAAAAAAACACAAAAAGTGTAATTGTTATTGTAAAAAAGAGAGGAAATGAAGGTGGTATAAGGGATATAACTGCATGTTTGAGTGTGTAGGATGGAAAGCCATATTACTGAGCTTTTGTTGGATCATTGAATGGAACTGTCTGCAATCTCACTGTATGAATGTCCACTTTATACGCTTTAATTCTATAATTTGGACAACTGATTCTAAGATGAAAATATGTAACTTATTAACCAGTGATTTCTTACTGTATTATTTTTCTTGAAATTCTGTATTATTTATACACTTTTAATGCTTTGTTTTTTATTTCCTTTCTTTTTTCTCTTTAAATAAAAAAATAATCAAACCTGGAATGGATATCTTTTATTAAATTATTTTTGGTACTGGAGATCAAACTCACAACATCACACTTGCCAGGCAGGTTCTTAAGCCACTGAGCTAAATCCCCTGCTCCCCAAAGTACATATGTTACATCTTGTCATCTTCACAGTAGTTGCCTCTGCTCTTGGACTTGGTACAAGCAAGCATACCAAATGTGAATAAAATCAGTCAAGGCCAAATAACATTCAAACAAACCAGCTTCAAAGAAGATCAGTCATAGAAGACAATATAAGTAATACAGGGTTTCATTTTAAGTTAATAGGTAATTAAGGATAGTTACCATGTTATAACCTGCTATTTTTTGTATTATCTCTCTGTGCCCTCAAATCTAATGTGAGTAGACAGGCTGGAACAAAATATAATCAAACTAACCAGAGCAATAAGTCTACGGTAACTTTTAAATCCTGATACACTTTTAACAATGCCCTCTGCCTTCTTTTTTTTTAGGCAATTCCTCACCTTTCTCCTTCTCAGGATGCTATTTTTCACGGTTGAGAGTGATATTAGTCTATTCTCTTATGTTCAATTTCAGCATACACAAAGATAAAGACAGCTACTATGAAGAGAATGACAGACATTGTGGTAGTTATTATCGACTTCCCCAAAATCAGTTTGAAGACTGAAAAAGCCTACATCATCCTGTAATTATTTGATTAGTTCTATAACCTTCAGTATATATTCAATGCATTCTAGATGGGAACAACTATTTGGAAGAAAACTAGAGACAGTAAGATAGACAGTGAACATCTCCAGTGGACTTGCTTTGAAATCTGTGTTTCCTTAACTTGTTTACTTATGAACTGTTCTGTTCTGTTTTGTCATGTTTAATCTTACCCTCTTTAAGAAATAAAACAAGTGTGAAGGACAGATAAGCATATTAATAAGTTTTTGTTTGATCATTGAGGTGAACTGTTCGCAGTGTCATTATTTGAATATCACTTTGTATGCTTTATTTTGTAACTTGAACAACTACTCCTAAGATGACAATATGTAACTAATCAACTAGTGATTTCTTATTGTTAATTTTTCTGAAATTCTGTATTATTTCTACACTTTTTTCTGTTTTATCTCTTTAAATAAACATTGCAATTTACCAAAAAACATAAAAATTCAATTTTAAAGACAAAATATTAAGTACATAGACACTATCCATACTTGAAAGTTAAAAGCCCATTTCAGTTTACCATGTTTAATTACAAGATGCCATGTTGAAGCACAAAGACATTTTAAAAAATCTAAAGAGGTACAAGTGGTTAACTGACAACCATACAACATGTGCACTCCAGTAGAGCTCCACCACAGATTTGTCATTTCTGGAAAATTTGTGAAGAAATATTCATATCAAACTTCTGTATTGGTTATTTCTTCAGGTCTCCTTGGGATTTTTAAAGTAAACTTAGATCTAAACTGTCTGAGGAGCGATGCTTTTTCTATGTATTTAACAACAAACATGGATTGCCATATTTCTCACATAGTTAATCCACATAGGATCTCTACCCAGTGAGTTCTTTCAGATATGTAACAATGATCATGTGTGCTGAGAGTATTCCCATAACACATAGGATTTATCTCTAGTGTGAGTTTTTTCATGTATTTCACTTACAATCTGGCTGCTGAGAGTGTCTCCATTTGCTTACATAGCCAGTGGTTCTTCCCAGAGTGAATTCTTTCATGTGTTTTGCAATGACTGTATGCAGTAAAAGCTTTGCCACGTTGTTATATACATTGGGTTTCTCACCAGCGTGAAGTCATTGATGTATTTTACAGTATCCATGTGTGATGAAAGCTTTCCCACATTCTTCACATACACAGGCTTCCTCAACAGTGTAAATTTTTTCATGTATTGGACAATGAGCATTTCTGCTGAAACCTTTCCCACATTACTTACATATATAAGTTTTCTGCCAAGTGTGAAGATTTTCATGCATTATGAAATATGTATGTGTGCTCAAATCATTCTCATGATGCTTATATACATTGGTTTTCTCTTGAATGTGAACTTTCATGTTGCTTACAATGTCAATGTAGGGTAAAATCTTTCCCACATTGCTTATACATATGTTTTCTCTCCAGTGTGAATTCTTTCATGTTTCTTACAATATCTATGTGTGGTAAAATATTTCCCACATTGCTTATACATACGTTTTCTCTCCAGTGTGAATTCTTTCATGTTTCTTACAATATCTATGTGTGGTAAAAGCTTTCCCACATTGCTTACATACATATGGTCTCTCTCCAGTGTGAATTCTTTCATGAACCTTACAATATCTATGTGTGGTAAAAGCTTTCCCACATTGCTTACATACATAGGGTTTCTCTCCAGTATGAAGCCTTTCATGTTTTTTACAACCTGCCCATGTGTTAAAAGCTTTCCCACATTGCTGACATACATATGGTTTCTCTCCAGTGTGAATTCTTTCATGTTTCTTACAATCTCCCTGTGTTTTAAAAGCTTTCCCACATTGCTGACATACATATGGTTTCTCTCCAGTGTGAATTCTTTCATGTTTCTTACAATCTCCCTGTGTTTTAAAAGCTTTCCCACATTGCTTACATACATATGGTTTCTCTGCACTGTGAATTCTTTCATGTCGCTTACAATGTCTATGTTGGGTAAAAGCTTTCCCACATTGCTTACATACATATGGTTTCTCACCAGTGTGAATTCTTTCATGTTCCTTACAATGTCCGTGTTTGGTAAAAGCTTTCCCACATTGCTTACATACATAAGGTTTCTCGCCAGTGTGAATTCTCTCATGTTCCTTACAATTTCCTTGTGTCATAAAAGCTTTCCCACATTGCTTACATACATAGGGTTTCTCTCCAGTGTGAATTCTTTCATGCTTCTTACAATTTCCCCGTGTGTTAAAACCTTTCCCACATTGCTTACATACATAGGGTTTCTCTCCAGTGTGAATTCTTTCATGCTTCTCACAATTTCCCCGTGTGTTAAAACCTTTCCCACATTGCTTACATACATAGGGTTTCTCTCCAGTGTGAATTCTTTCATGAATCCTACAATGTGCACGTGTGTTAAAAGCTTTCCCACATTCCTTACATACATATAGTTTCTCTCCAGTGTGAATTCTATCATGTTTCTTAAAATATCCCTGTGTGTTAAAAGCTTTCCCACATTGCTGACATACAAAAGGTTTCTCTCCAGTGTGAATCCTTTCATGAACCTTACAATATCTATGTGTGGTAAAAGCTTTCCCACATTGCTTACATACATAAGGTTTCTCACCAGTGTGAATTCTCTTATGTTCCTTACAATGTCCTTGTGTCATAAAAGCTTTCCCACATTGCTTACATACATAAGGTTTCTCTCCAGTGTGAATTCTTTCATGCTTCTCACAATTTCCCCATGTGTTAAAACCTTTCCCACATTTCTTACATACATAGGGGTTCCCTCCACTGCAATATTTTTCATGGGTCTGAACATTGGGGTGTGTTTCTGTTTCTTTCACATTCACATTACCTCCTGCAGTACAAAGGAATACTTCTTTACACAGATTCCAAGATGTATGTCCATAGAATTTCCCTAGCTTGTCATTTCTGTAAAGAAAAAAATCATATATCAGATTGATAACCATATTACTAAGTTTTGTTGGAGAGTTGAATAAAACTGTTTGCAGTCTTGCTTTTTGAATCCCTATTTCATATGTTTCACTTTTGTATTTGATTAACTATTTCTATGAGCAGCATATGTAATCATCGTCTTGTGATTTCTTACTGTTCATTTTCACTTTAAATGTAGTATTATTTCTACTTACTTTGTTTTATTTAATCTTTCCTTACATTAAATTAAAAAAAAAAGAAAAATTCACAGTGAAATGGGTCTCAGTTTAATGACTGCATTAATGTCAAGTTCTGTTTTTAATGCCTAAGAAATTCTGACCATGAAGCAACAGAATGGCCTTGTAAGATATGTTGAAAACAGCCATTCCCAAAAGACTGGTACACATTTAGAAATCTTAAAAGGTGGTACCTTATGAAATGCAGAATATTTAGCTTCTCTTTGGGCATGGGCACTTACGTGTATCACAGACAGATCATTCTGATATGGTTCCCCATCACAATCTTGCTTCTGTCCTTAACTTGTAGTTCCCTTTTTCATATGGTCAGTCTTACTTTTCTCTATTAATTCTCTTTTGCTTCATTCCACAATTTTTATTTTGGTTTCTTATCTAAAAGAAACCCTGTGACCTTTTAGGTTTTATAGCTGAGCTATTTCTCTCAAATGCTGGGGGAAAGGCCCATCTGTTTCTTATGGCAAATGACATTATATTATTTATTTTTTGACATTATGTAAAACATTTTTTTCTTTTCCAGGCTGGAAATGAACAACAGGTATTAGCATAATATCTATAGCTTTTTAAAATCTGTTTTAAGAGACTTTCATTGATCATTAAGCTTTGAAGTTTGAACTTGAATTTGCCATTCTGCAAAATGTGATTCATAGTGTGCTGGGTTTATAAGAATGCACAATCACAGAGAGTCTATTAACATTTTCCTTCTCCACCAATATAGGGATAGACAGCCTAGCTTCATGGTCTGATCTGTTATAACTTGATCTGTTTTGTATGTGAGTAAGCATGTATCAGTATTTTATGTGGATTTTGAGATTTTAAAAATATCCAGGACAAGTATGAGGGGATCAATTTCTAAAGACAACTGCATACTGATATTCAAAATGAGTGCATTAACATTCCACCAGCCTACTAAGAATTTTAATTAGAATGGCTGATTCTCTAGAACATGGCTTGGAAACACGAGCACTCAGTTTTATTTCAAATCTATTGCAATCTTAGCAATTTATAGATAATGAATGTGTTGCATTCACATGTATATATTGGTACAAAAATTGTTAGATAATGAATGTGTTGCATTCACATGTATATATGTGTACAAAAACTGAAGACAGAATGTCATAACTCAAAGTGTATGCCTTTTGTATACATCTATATGCAATGTCATACATTTCCATGATTTAATTCACTCATTATACATACCCTAGCTTACATATCTTCAGAGAATATTATTGACATTAAATTGAATGGTGGTCATTTTTCTATTGACTCATAATTACTCAGGAACATTCCTTGTCCTTGTGAATGTGGATTACCTTAAGTATCTCCAGTAAATTTTGCATTCTTTTTCAGCTTCCTGGATATTCCCAAGTCCTCCTGAATTGTAGACATAGAAATACCAGGACTCATTAGAGTAATATATACAAATTAATACGTTTTGTTTAGATATATGATATAACGTGTCCAGATTTGAGGTAGTTTTAAAAATATTTTCATGTTCTTTTTAATGAAACAGCATTGATGAGCAACAAACAATATTCTGACAGCGTGAGTGACAAAAAGATTTCATCCTTACCTATCGCAATCATGTTGCTAACAGTTTCGCCCATCACATCTCTGTAGAGGTTCTTTTGGAATGGACTCAGCAAAGTCCACTCTTCATTGCTGAAGTTCACGACCACATCCTCAAAGATCACTGCGTCCTAAAGGATCATACATATATTTCTCAAAGGAAGATTGAGACCCCAGTTTTGGGATATCTTAAACTCTCTCCTACAAATCTGAATCAAAAGCAAAGTGTGTTGGTGCATATATATAATCCCAGCACTCAAAAGACTGAGCCAGGATGGTTTTGCTGAGGTCAGGGCAATTCTAGGCTCCATAGGATATTCAAATCCAGCTGATATACATACAGAAAGCTTTTCTCAATAAAACAAAACTAAACTAATAAAATGAAAAAAACAGCTGAATGAAGACTGATTTCTTCAAATTAAATCCATGTCTTTGTCATTAATTTTGTGTATATACACATTTTTGAAGACAGCAAAGTTGATGCTAGATTTTAACTCACTGCTAATGTAACAGGCAAATAGGAGCACTGATTCTTGTGCTGAGTCACTGCAAGATTCCCTGTGCACTGTCTCTAAAGTACAGCTCACAGTGAGAAGCCTGCAAGACCAGCAACCACAAAGCACAGAGACAAATAAATATCTCATCAATCAACTGGGAAGCCAAGCAAGCAATTCCTCTCCCTGGTCAGCGGTGGTGGTTTGGCAGACTGCAGCCCTTCCAGGGTGAAAACCAGCAGCAGCTCCTGAGATCCATGCAATATTGGAACTTAGGACACTGGGAAGCCAAGCAAGCACCACCACTCCCTGGTAAGTGGTGGCGGTTTGGCCGACTGCAGCCCTTCCAGGGGGAGAACCAGCTGCAGCTCCTGAGATCCATGCCATGTTGGAACTTAGGACACTGGGAAGCCAGGCAAGCATCTGCCCTCCCTGGTGAGCAGTGGCAGTCTCCAAACTGCAGTCCTTCCAGGGGGATAACCAGCAGCAGCTCCTGAGATACATGCAATATTGAAACTTAGGATGCTGTGAAACCAAACACCATCCTGTCTCTCTACTAAGCAATAGTGAACCTACTGATGCACCACCTAGAGTCAAATATTCCATTTCCCCTACCCCTCTACTCCTGTCACTCCCCTACCCCCCCAACCCCGTTAGCAAATGAACCAGAAATCTGAGCGTCTCCTGGAAGTTGACCATAGCAAATAAGGGGGACTTTCTTCTACTATCTCTTTGAAGGCAAATATTTTTATTACTGTTTGGCTCTATACTGATTAATGGTACTGCTCTATTCAATATTCTGTTTTGATAAGTTCTATAATGTTCTGTATTTCATCTCATTTTGATATACATGTTTGAAAGAAAAACTATTATAAAGATAATGAAATATACTGTGATACCTACTACTGTTATCCCAGTAACCTGTTGTGAAGTTGTGTACCAATTTCACTGTATGATCTTAGTTGGGCTTATTCTGCCTTCTTCTGTTGTATTTTATCTATTTCAAAATTTAAAAAAAGAAAAAAAGTCTCATCAATCACTTTGATAGACTATGGAAGATGTATCTTCAAATCTCATTTAGGCCAGTGAGTACTTTGTTCTTAATATAGTTAAGCAGCATTTTGAAATATGAATTTGGTTTCATAGAACAAAACATATATAACATCAAATATGGTACATAAATAATAACTCAAATGTTAGTGGAAAACAGCTATATTTTAAAAATATGTATATAAAATGAAAACAGGCCCAAGCTGTAAATTATAGCTCACTGTCACCAAGTGATCACTTTCAATTCAGATATAAGAATTATATGTTGGGAGGCTGGTGATGGAGTTCTTCCTTGAACTTGCGGCTATCCTAAAGTTACAGAGCTGTCTAAAATAGACAAACCCTGACTGAGATACCCCACAAACAATGTGAAATCTAAAAAGTGATTACATAAAACAGCTTTGGTTTGTTTTAAAAAAATTATAGCCATACAATACAGAAAAACTCCAACAATACTCAACACTTTCTGAGAAACAATGTGGATATCTTTCATACTACACAGAAAATATGTTCATAGTTGAGTATTTAGCTCACTGGCATGACCGCCTGCCTGGAAAGCATAGATCATGAGTTTGATCCTTGCTACAAAAATATTCAAATTTCACCTTCATGACACTGGGGCATAAGTAGAGATAATCAAAATTAGATCTCAAGTATGAAACACAAAATTCATAGGTTGACAGGCATGTGGAATACTGATTGTTGCCAGAGCTGGTGTTGATCACCTCAATGAAGCAATCAGAACCCAACTTTAACTTTATACTTACTCTAAGAACTACCTGACTTTCAGTAAAGACCTTCTCTGTTGTATGTCCTGCTATTTGCTTCCTAAATCCTGTCAATCATTTTCACATCCTTTCCACACTCCTCTGTTCCATCCTAAGCAGAAAACCCTTCATGCCTAACTTTTGATATAAATGAAAAATTTCTATTGATAGTTCTTCCTTTACACCACTTAGACAAGTCCATTGCAGAGCATTTCCATATTTAAACTGTCTATGTACAACCAAGCTACTAAATCAGCTCTTAATTCAGAGATGACACCTGTATTCCTTTCCATTCAGAAGGATATCCCCAGTATATGTCCATGCAAATGCCTAAATTTCAGCATTTTTCGACGAGAATTTAACATGTAGCAATTTCTGGAATTAGTCCTTCACAAACTTTTACCCTAGCCTTGATAAAACTTCATATTTGCTTCATTTTTCTCAGACTTCAAAACTCTATGGCTATTCCCACAAACCTAGTCTGTGAGCAGTGGTGCCACCTAAATAATTATGTTCAGAAATAATTTGCAATGATCTGTATAATACACAGGAG